GTATAAAGTGTAAATACTTACACAGTATGGATTTATAGTGAAGCTTCAGATTTCACAATAAGCATACAATTTATCCAGCCAGTAATCCCCACAGCAATAACTACAGCATGTTTACATTCTTTATATGACTTTGTAATGCAGAGAGACATTTGACTACACTTAGAAGTGGAATTAAATCAAGGTAACGTGTAACGGCCTGTCTCCTTACTAAAACTGAGTATACTGCCATGCATTCACTGTGTATATACCACTTACAGTATCAGGAACTCAGTAGAAAACACAAGCAACCACTATGTTCTCAAAGCTTGTGACCATAGCTTAAGGACAGAACGTTGAAGTGAGTGATTTAATTTGTTGCCGTTGTTGGAGAATAGTTTTGTGTTATTTTTTGCGTTCCTCTTTCGAGCCTGTTCTCTCACTGGCCTGCCAAACTATCAGATGTATGAGGTCTTATAACGTAGACAGAAGCATCATGACAAATTAGCCCATGTTTAATTATCAATGAACCTTTGTATTAAATATGCTTTTGAACTCGTAGAGTACTCACTCTACAAAGCATGGATACTAGCCTGTATGCTATAGCAACTTCACTGTGGATGCAGTTGAACAGCTGTAAGATTTCCAGATGTTTGCATGTGCTCTCCTTTACTCTATATAATTTCATGGTCTTCAAGGTTGATATCTCGTATCTTTCCTGAACCCTTTAGATTTGAATCGGTCTCATTGTTTGACGGGGAGTCATGCTGCCTGTTTTAATGGCTGTGTACTATATAGATTTCGTATGGCTCATGCTCATCCCGCTAAAGATGTAACCACATGACTTGGCAAACATCCACAGTTTAGACTCACTTTCTCTGTTTTCTCTGTGCTAATCTGAAGTTGGTTTTGACAGTAGTGGTTTGGAGCACATTCACCAACTTTAGTGGTTAAGGTCAACCTAAGTCCGGGTTATCTTGATAGGTTTGGTCTTTGTCTCTTAGGACGGCTATTGTGGTTACTGCAATCTACGAAATAATTTAAAATATGACTGCTTTAGTGTCACTACTTGGCACAAGGGTATGAACTTGATGCCAGGCTCCTTGAGGACTGTGAGAAAATATGAAGGGAGCCAGCCAGTGCGTGGTGGAGACCCTCCCAGTCGGGTACCCAACTAACCCAAGACATGGCATTGACGGCTCCATGTGCCTCCAAGTCAGGACAGCCTTGTTTCACTTGTCGGTTCCCGGCTTCTCTGTCTGGATCTTGGGCTTGATGAATGGCACGAGATAAACATCCATAGCTTCCACTTGTTGAGCGCTTCCTGTTTGGTGTCGCCCAAGTCCTCTCGTGCAGCCAGCAAGGGAGCAGTGGCGGGACAAAAGTTCATGACTCCATGAGAATGACTCCCAGTTAGCCAGCTGGTCAGGCCTGGACAGACAGCCAGCTTCAGAACATTCCTCTTCACCCAGGCATTTTTGGAGGATGATGTGATGTTCCTCGAGATGGGTGGGATTAGACTGCTAGGAAACAGAAATATTTGAAGCTAAACACTTGATCTGGAAGAACTGCACATCTGACAAATTCTGATGGATGCCGTAATGGCAATTGAGGAATCAACACAGTTTCGTTTTCAATCTTTGTGGAACTTTATTTAATATCCTACAAAGAGTCATTTGCATTTTTGAGTTGCTGAGTTGAGTTACATTCCAGAGAAAGTTGGCTGCAGACATGTTTTATATCAGTTTAAACTGTAGCTTGGCGTCAGTTAAATGTTTTTCTCACTTTCAAAGGGGATGATAAAGCTTAGCAGGATAAAGGACATTTGAAGTTCTTTTGGCATAGGTAATGGAAAAAAAACATTAAGCCTTCGCCTCAAATGTTACTTTTATGAATACTTTAGTTTTAGCGCTTGTCCTTAGGATGTTGCTGTATTTTCACTCCAGCTGGAAATGCTGTGAAAGGCAGCTGCCTCAGCCACAGGTTTCCCTACTGGTTTTGTCAGTGCTCTAACTCGCAGTCTCTGGTTGAGGGCTGTACAGCTGGCTCTGTAATTAGTCAGACAAAGGCCTTTTTGAGTCAGGAACAGAACTACATTGGAGAACGTACAGTAAAAAAACATTAAAAAAAAACATTTTTGGATTTAGATTCGGATTGTTCTAAAACCCTTTAAGCAATATCACTTGCATGATCACAAGGTAACACTTGGCAGAGAAAACAAGAACAGCTCAACATTCCTTTTTCAACATTAATTAGATTGAGTTGTTTTCTTTGGTTTGCATTTGTAGGCCTTCATGATTGAGTTGTATTTGTCTGAAGGAGCTGTTTGACAAAGGTTATTGTGTCCATTTGGGATCAGAATACTTCACTTTGGCAATTAAGTTTGATAATATGACTGTAATATCACAAACCCTTTCCCATAAGATCTGTATTTGGGTTCTGTAATAAAGATAGACCCCATATGGAGAATAGTATCTATAGAAAGAAGCAAGAGAAGACAAATAAAGTCATAAAGAGAAGAAAACGAGAAGAGAAAATAGCAAGAAAGAAGGGTGCAGATGGAAAATGGAGAGACTGCAGTTCACATGGACCAAAACTAACTGAAACACACGGGAAATAAATCACCACCATCTCCCTCCCTCCCTTCCACAGTATAAACCCACATCTGCATGTTCCTATAGAGCTGGCAGACATATTTCACCCCAGAGGACGTCCCAACAGCACAGGGCTTTATGTGTGATATACATGAGGCCAGACGTTTCCTGGAAAGCACATTCAGCTCCTTTCCAAGAAAAAACAGGTCACCTTTAAGTCAAAATATTCACTGTTGGTATTGGTCCTCGTTTATGGCCTCAGCCTTTTTCCAACTTAGCTGGTTTTCAGTGTTCATTTGAAGAAAACTGATATATTCCAAAGCCATGGAGTTGACCAAATTGATATCACAATTGGGATTGCGGGAAAAATAACAACCTTCCTTGTACTAGTCAAAAGCCTCCTTGCACACGGAATCTATCAATTTCCCCGAGTCTTGGAGTAATTTGTGGAAAAGGGGAGAGAGGAGAAGAAAAAAGGAAAAAAATATCTCTGAAGTTAAGTGAGCTAAGTAATTTCTACCATCTGTAGCGCACATTTCTGCCGCCTTGCTCTCCTCTAAAGTGGCAAGGCAGAACACAGGGCCCGGCCACAAGAGTTAGAGAGAATGACAGAGTGGAGATGAGTGGTCCTCTCCGGGGATGGGGGGGTAAGAAGGGGCTTGTGGCTAGGATACGGCTGATGTCAAGTATCGAACCATCAGTAGAAGGCCGCCACTAAGTGTGGCTCTGCATTGGATTTTCTGCCCAAATGCCCTTCACCATACTTGACTTACGCCAGTGACGGGAGATAATCTTCGATCAATCCAATCTCTATTAATTCTGGCTGAATGGGTTTTGATTGTGATTATATTGAAGTGGCAGGCAGCAGTGATGTTGAGCCATTTGATTCTGCAGGAATCCTGGTGACTTTTTTAGGCCAAGCACGTGGGTGGTGATTTTGGAGCATTTCCTGAGAGACTCCACCAGTTTCCATTCATAAAATTATAACCGTAGCATAACACGGTTGTTGGCTGGGAGAGGATATCTAATTTCCCTTATTAATTTACTCATTAACCGTTTGAGTTTCTCCTCCGCTTGAACCAGCGTTCCTCCCATACTTGCCAACCTTGAGACCTCAGAAATCGGGAGCATTTCAAAACCGGCGTGGGTGGTAGTGGATCGCCGGAGCTGTAGATTAACATTAACATGCTTGTTGTAAGTGCAACTGTAGCACCATCCTTGATGGAGCATATGTGTGGGCTGGACCTGTATTTTACAGGAAAGGAGTGAATTAGGGTCGAGTTGTCGATTCTTGTTCTGTCTACTGTGAATATCTTCCTCACCCTCTCAGACTTTCAGTTGTGTGCGCTACTAAAGAGATGCGCTACCATGGAAACCAAACAATGGTGTAGCTGTATTAAAGTCAGAGTGGAAACAGTCCTGATTAAATCTGATTTTGTCTGAAATCGGGAGAAATGCGGGAGAAATATGACCCCGGGAGGAAACCGGGAGAGGGCAATGAAATGGGGAGTCTCCCGCGAAAATCGGGAGGGTGGCAAGTATGGTTCCTCCTTCACTGCACTTGCTGACAACCTCAGCACGCATTTCCACTGCAGGGCCTCGCACGGCTTAGTACGGTATAGTTAGGCCTTGGTAGGCCAGGCTCACTTTATGCTGCGTTTCCATTACAGTAATGGAAACGCAGCATAAAGTGAGCCTGGCCTACCAAGGCCTAACTATACCGTACTAAGCCGTGCGAGGCCCTGCAGTGGAAATGCGTGCTGAGGTNGTGTGTGTGTGTGTGTGTGTGTGTGTGTGTGTGTGTGTGTGTGTGTGTGTGTGTGTGTGGTACTAATTGCACTCGCTCTGTCTACAAAACAACCTCCTAATTTTTCACCTGCCTCACACACACATTCCACCCTGACACGCTGATTCAACCCTCTCTCTCCGTCTGATCTCATTGCTTCCTGTTCTTCTCCCAGATGTGTGTGTGTGTGTGTGTGTGTGTGTGTGTGTGTGTGTGTGTGTGTGTGTGTGTGTGTGTGTGTGTGTGTGTGTGTGTGTGTGTGTGTGTGTG